AATGCAAATAAGCACTTGCGATGGGCAACAATCGTAACAGCTGAAATCGTAAAGTGTCGTCGATTGCAAACATCTCGCCTAATTGTAACTCAGCATGCCTGTGATCGCGACATATAATGTAAGTACCTTCGATACCTTGCAAAGCCATCAGTACATGTCTTGTCAGTTCGTCTTCAGATAAAACTGCAAATTTTGTTGATTAACCTTTTGTGCGATCCCCTTCTTTACATATAAGATAAAGAGCAAATTTTTGCAGTCTCTATTTCAATACTTGATAAAAAAAGAAAAGGAAAAACAAATCCAAAAATTCGATTGTTGACAAGAATACGACAACGATCAAAGAAGTGACATTACTTAACTTGTAATGGTTACGCTTTATTTAGAAAAAACAAAAATTATCATCTCTTACCAAAATTTGAATAACACTGAGATTATACAACCGGCTTTAAAATCAAACGTAATCAACACTAACCTGAAGGATGTGCCGCTCGTCCGGTAAGTGCAGAAGTCTGTGGACTTAAAAGCTGTACGTGTTCGGGCCTACAAGAATTTTTCAAAAAAAAAGCATCAAAGCTAATTTTTAATTAAAGTAATGTAAGGATTTTTTCCCATAACTTTTATTTGAGATAAACTACAGACTAATCATCAAAAATGCTTTGCGCTAGTATTAATACCAAATCATAAAAGAATATGAAGTAAAGCATAGTTAAAATTACTTTCAATATGAAATAGAAATATAGAAAAACAATGTTTCGGTTATGAACAAATCATAATTTAAGATTAAAGGCGTACGAAAAAAAGCTTTCATCGCTATTCCCGGTACTTGGTGTCGTCGAATGGCTTAGAGCAAATCTGGTGGTACGTTGTCGGGATATCGGTGTTATCGAAGTAGTACTGGTATTTGCATTTACTAATCTCAGCTTTGCACTTCGCTCAGCTTTCTTAGCATACTGGAAAAGATTGCATTAAGGCATTTGTAACAACAAATTTTCTTGCATTTTTCTAGTTTTGATATTTACTTTTTTAAAAGTTCCAATAAGAATAGACGATAAATATGAAAAAATAAAGATGAAGAATAGTGATCATAAAGATAAAGAATCATGAAGATCATAAAAAGTGTTCTTTTTTCTGGATATCTGTTTAAACAACTCTAGTTCTCTATGATTCACTTCTTTTTCATTCTTTCTAAGCATGAAACGTATTATTGTTGATTTCTTCAACATTTCCAAAGCAACAAAAATATTTGTTCAGTGGAAGTGGAAAGACCGATAAAATATGGAGCATATGAAGAATGCAGTGTTGAGAAATATTGTAGAAAATTAAACTAGGACATAAAGGCTAGGTAAAATTGGCTCCATATATTGAGCATACCAGATACTACGTGATTATACGCGACAAACTTCTACATCAACTCTCTAACTAAATATTAGACCATATAAGGAAAAAAGAGATTGCAAAGCAAATCAAGGGAAACATGAATGCTTTAAAAAAAAAAAAAAAAAAAAAATAAATAAAATAAAATAGGAGCAACAAAAAACTCGTGCAACATAATAAAATTTTTCAGAATTATTTCAACCCTTCTAATAATAAGTGCATTAAAAGACCACTGCAAATTGGTAGCACTCTAGAAAAAAATGATTATGAAAAAAGGACACTTTTAAAAACGTCTAAAGGCATGTTTTAAAAACTCTTCCTGCCTTATAATACCAAATTTTCTCAAATGACGAAAATGCGAAAAGCCAAGTAATAAAAGTAATAAAAACATATATGACATAAAAAAAGCATGTTAAATAATGAAATAAGACTTAAAGAAATATTAAGCAAAAAGTCTGATGATAGATTTCGCAGTTAACATACCCGATCGCCCGCAGCATAGGCTACAAGAAACAGAACTAATTTGTCTGCATCCATCAAATCTTGTCGTATTTGCAGTCGATGTACTATGTCCTCAAAAAGGGCAGCCTTTCTTCCATTTCGTTTTATATCTGTAAAAAATACTTAGTTAGTAAGGATAAATTGATCAATGAATCTATGCATATACATTCAAAAATCTCTGTGAATAAGTTATAACAAAATATAGTAAAAAAACTGAAACCAAATATTCTATTAAATTTTGAATAGTCTAATGTATAATTAAAATGATCACACATTTTTTTCGAACTCGTTCGATTTCTTTCGCCGCATCAACTTGAAAAGCTGTACAATGTCCCAAAAGAAACAAAGATAAATCTTCACGATCAGAAGCTGAAATTAAATAAATAAAGAATATTAAATTCAATATTATTTTACTCACAGGATCATGACTTTATGAAATATAGTCAACTATGTAATTTTGGCAAGTATTATACGTTTGACAGCATTTCAATTTCCAATATGTTTCAGTAGTTATTTCAGGCAATATTTATTACTGTTTATGGATTACCAACTTATCACTGAAGTCTAAGACATGAAAAGTTTTTGATTATTGTATTAGGAATAGAAAAGCAGAAAGTAAGTTTAACACATAAGGCTGTATTATTTTATCGTCGAATGTGAGTACTACCAATATGCAATCAAAAATAACAAAAACTATTACAGAAAAATCCAAAAAAAAAAAGGAAAACATACGGTCGCAGTTAAATTCTTGTATGAAATGATCTAAAAGTGGATTAAAAGTAGACGCGCTAGATTCCATCATGCATTTGGTGTTCGAACTGCAAACCATATGTTTTTTAAGCGATACGTTTCTCGACAATATATAGGCAAACAAATAAGATTAAAGAAATTACTGAGTAATTTAGAATCAATAAAATAAATGGATGAGCCAAATTCACAATTTGCCGGACTAAATTTCGTCTATTCAATGTAGTAACATGACCTGGAAATTATGTAAGTACATTTATATGTATATATGTTGATATTTTAATTTGAGAAAAATCTTCATAAAGTAACTTCTAATCATAACGAAGGTAGAATACTTCTTCCCTTTTAAAATTGATCAGCAAAGCAGTCATAACATAAAATAAAACAATGTATGCTGCATTATAGAGCCATGTGATCAATATAAATCAACGAGGCAAGTATGAAAATGAAGTTTTACTTTTAGACATAAAAATATAAATAATGACAAGTAAAATAAAGCAAACAACAGAATGCTCAAATGACCACAAATTTTTTCATTCAGTAAAAAGCAACTGAAAATTGAACTTTTAAACAAAAGAATTTCACACTTTTCTTAATAAACGATTTTCAATTAATGATCGCAACTACAGAGATGATGTCAAGACATACTTGTAAACTTATAAGAATACATCAAAGGCTTTTGCATACAATATAATTAGCAATGAAGACTAAAATCAAAAGATCTGAAATACCGGAAGCATTAACAAAAAAAAAAATTTTTTTTATTCAAACTTAATAAAGACGGCAATAATTTAAAACAAATAGCTCTAAGCAATATGCACGCAATTATTTAAATTCAAAAACAATACACGCTATATGCGCTGTATATAGTAATCATCATTCAAATAAAACAAACATAAACAGATGCTATCCATTTTTTTTAAAACCATATTTTTTCCTCTCATAAAAGAGATCTGTTTTGGCACTTCCTAAATTGACTATTTTTGGACAGCCATCTCGATCTTTTTCCATAATCGTACATTCCTTGCAATAATAAGCATCACTCACTCCCGAACCCCCACAAATGACACAGCGTCCCTAAAAGCATATTATCGATTAAATTTGATTAAACTTTGAATCAAATAATTTCAAATAACTCGAAAAACTATCATTAAAAAATAACAAAAACATAAAAGAAAATAATCATGAAAGTTGCTACTTCCAAAACTGAATATTAAATAGTTATATTATTAATGAAAGCAAAAAACTATTAATTACTAAAGGAAACCAAGGTAGTACTCTTTGTTTCTCATTTGAAAAATAACTAATTCAAGATGAAATTTAAAAAAAAAAAAACCAAATGAGAAACTTGCGACAGATGGTAAATTCTGCTCAATAAAACTCAAGATAGACTTACAAAACTTAGCATTTAATCTACTAATTCAGATACGTAAATTTTTGCAAGGATAATGAAATACTGTTCAATAAAACAATTCAAACATTCATTAGCTCTCACCTGATATGACCCATAATTACATTCATCACAAATCCTTACTAGCGTACATGGTCGAACATACGAATCACATATAACACAACGACCATCACCTACAAATAAAACTAATGAAATTAATATTGCAAATAAAATTGGAAATAAAACTAATCCTACAACGAAAGTAAAGCATCTAGCAAATTGCTAAACAAATTAGATGAAGTAATACAGTAAAGCCCAAAAATATAAAAGTGTATTATTAGGCTTAACTGGTACAGAATATATAATTATCCTGTTCATTACACTGATTAATATTTGAATAAATGGAAGACCAATTAATGATTGAGCAACTATTAAGGCAGCATGCCAACCAAAACCTGAATACTATCAAGCTTCTAGAATCATTTAATGTCGCATAACTAATACTACCCGTCAAGGTCCTCTTTTTCAAGCCCTATATAGCAATACAGAGGATGCTATCACCAGAAACAATACTATCAGGCATCACAACTGATTCATTTCAGGAATTTGCTGCTTAGTTTTAAATGCTAGGCATTATTTAGTAATAATAACAGCTTATTAAAAGTTTCAAGGATTATGTCAATAATAAACTTGACATTCCTAAGAAAGATCTAAGAAAGAAAACAAAAAAAAAAGAAAATACATTTTTCGCAAAGTCGACCAATAGCAACACCTGGCTGTTTACGACAAAAAATCAAATCTGGATGATGTTTCGCCATCTCACACAACTTCTTTTATCGTCGCAAAAAAATACTTTTCTAAACAAAACCAACGGTTACTTCTCAAAAAAATACAACAATTCCAAATCTCGTGAATCGTTACACTTTCATAAACAAAGTTTAAATGATTTAAAAAGCATTTTCTATAAAAATTTGATAAGACTTAATCGTCATGCATAACAATTTCCTTCTGCGTTACGCACTAAACACACCAAAAAATTTACAGTTTCTATAAAACATCCCACTATCAATACTAAAGCAAAACATTGCAATTCCTTTGCATATGACCACAGAATCATAATTCCTGTCAATACAACCGGAACATTGCTGCTATCCGGAAAGACACCATCACACGCATGGCAATCCGCAAAAGATTCATCTTGAATTCCTGGCGGTAATGCAAATGATGTTCCCATTGCATGCAACGAATTGCTGTGAGAGGAACTCGAATAAATAATTTAAGGAATTATAGGCGTTGTGGAATTAAAAGTAATGTAATGAATTTGTAATAAATTATTTAAAATGAATGGAATTTTTTTTTTTTTAGGAGAAGTGATAAGTAATTGGGATTACCTGTGATTACAGGTGGTGAACAGGTAGGTGAACAGAAATGGTTATCAGTGTTGCAATCATTGCCAATGATGTAAGTTAATTTTAATTATATAGCATACTATCTTTTCTTCCTACTGCAAACTTTTTGCAATTTTCATTGAATTAATGCTGATAGATTAATAATTTAGTAGTAATCAATTTATGAGTATTAGATAATGTATAGGATTTGTAATAAATAATTAAGAAATAATTTAATTTACTGCACGTAGCATTTGCAGTTTAGCAGTATAGATTCTTAATTGAGATAAATTTTGAGCATAAGTGGATCAAGCATTTAGAAATAATTTTGGTATTAAAATTTTCTCTCTTCCTTTTTCATTTCTCATCTATTTTAATAAGAATTATTTTCATTAATATAGAGTGCACCTTTATATCTGAATGTAAACGAGAAAGAATCATCGCGAAAATTCGATATACAAATGTTCATTTATTGTTCACTTGATATTGTTGATGAAAAAGTATTTGGTGCAAATAAGACCTTGGAATTGTATTTGGGACCACTCATATCAGATCAGAATTTCAAGGTTCATTTTTAAATTTAACGAAAAGAAATTCAGTCGAGTAATTTAGATATTTTATTTTAGTTAAATTGCTTCAAATTACCATTTTGCACGAAAAACACTTGTTAATGCGGTGAGAATAAATTGTGATCAGGATTTGATCATATTTCTAATCGTATTTTCAGTCATTTGGTTATGTAACAAGCACTAATGTAAAAATGATTATTGTGACAGAAATAGGTGATACTTCACTGAAGGATCAAGATATTCGTTCCGTAAGTTATTTGCTTGAATTTTATGAAAAATGGCCAAAATAAATAGCGAGCAAAAATTGAAGTTCCGCCTTTTATGATAATTCGTAGAATTAGAACCAGAATTGTACTCTCATTGAAACATATAACTTAGGATGTGTAAATTACATTACTATTTATTAAAATAACAGTTGAAAATTTGCTGAATGCAGTTACTGTTTTCAGTGAAAAGTTAACCAAATTTCTTATCTACAAAAATTATCTTCAGATGTTCAAAAGGCTTCATAATGCTTATTGTAACTCACTCTCAAATCCTTTTATGTTCCCGGACAACTTATCAAATCAAGGTAAGTTTTAATTCTGAGTAGAAATATACTTCTTCCTGCTAAATTTCATGGAAAGAATTTTTCTACGAATCCTATTTAAAAAAGTGTCTTTTTCAGAGTGTTAGACGAAACAGCAAAAGAAATATTTGCAACGTGATGGAAATTTATTTACTTAAGCTGACTTTGTCATAATGTATCATTCACGTGATATGTGTTAACAATTTCTGATCATGATGATGTTTGTTACTTTTTTGCCAATAATTCAATTTGAAGTGATATAATGATAATCTGATAAATTTTCGAAATAGCACATTTGTTGTGAAAACTAGTTTAGTTTGCGTTGATAATTTGAAAATATCTATTTTTTTTTCTGACTTCTCGTTATTTATGGTATTGTACCGAATTCTTTGGCTTACGTTTTTTTTTTTTTTTTTCAGGTAAAGTACTTAACTGATAATTCAATTGATGTTGAAAGACTTTGATATCTTATCTCACAGCTAGTGTTTTGTCAAATATTTCTCCATTTAACGATCGTATACTTATATTCCCACTGAGTAGAACTATTTGAATTTGTTAAAGGGGTGATTTTTAGGAATGAATGATGATGATTTTGGTTTCAGTGGGATTATCAAAATTGCAAACGTCAGCGATTTTATTGCTCCTTCACAGGTTTGCTTGGTTTTTTTTAAAAGTAGGTTATTATGAATTGTCAGATTTTTAGATTGAAAATTTTTCTGAAAACTAGTTGTGCGATATTTTCTAGGCATGCATTTTACCACTTCAGTCGAAGGAATCAGATGTGGAAGTTCAAATTCGAGTTAGAAGTCGAGCAAAGAAAGTTGATGATAGTACAGTAAAGAAAGTAGAGGTTACATTAAAAGATTGTTTGGCATGTAGTGGATGTATTACAAGTGCAGAAACGATACTTATTAAGGTTAGCGATACTTTGAAATTTTAATGATTTGTTTGCACTGACTTTTATATTGCTTTTTCCTTTTCTGTTGAGATATTTCCCATATCTCATCATAAAATTTGCATGATGTAATTTTGCATTGCTTACTGTAGCAAATTGGTTTATTAAGGAAGAACGTAATATATATCATAGTATTTTCACTATAGTTTAGGATGCTACTAAACAGTGGAAGCGAAGACAAATAAAAATTTTTGTTTCTGCACATACTATTTTGCATTAACGTAAATAAATAACTTATATATATTAGGTTCTGAGATTTTTTAATGAATTTTCATTGTTTTATTCAGGAACAATCAAAACCAAAGTTTTTGGAGGGTTTGACAAAGGCGCAGTTCAGCGTAATGACCGTTTCGCCGCAGTCAATAGCATCCATTGCGTATAAACGTGGATGTCATCTGTCAGAAGCAGCGAGACTCATTGCCAGAATTTTCATGAATATGGGAATGAAATATGTCGTTGATTCAAGCTTTGGGAGGCTGTTGACTTTATCACTTTCTTATGATGAATTTAAGGAGTCTCAGTTACAGCGACCAATTTTTACGGGTGTTTGTCCAGGTTTTGGTAAGTTATAACCTTTAATCTTAACATTGATTAGGAACTTTATTTGATTCTAATATTTTACTCATTATAATCTAAAAATCGTTTTTGAAAGATTTCATTTTTTTCTCTACTGCTCAAACACAACGTTTTTATGTGAATTAAATATGTGCTTATAACTTTTTGACTTAGTTGCTAACTTTTAGTTTTTCAGTATGTTATGCTGAGAAAACTCATGGAACATTACTTATCCCTCATATTAGCTGTGTGCGGTCACCACAAGCCATGATGGGCGCACTTGTGAAAGACTATTTAGCAAGGTTGTTTTCAAGAGTTCTTCTCGACCTTCCTCTGTTCTTTTTTCAATTTCATGTCCTTTGCCATGTTTTGACAAGAAATTGCACAGTAAATGTTTTTCATATATCTATTTTGCCCAGTTCTGGAATTAAATGCTAGTGTTAATTTGAAATCATTTTTAACCTTATTTGGTTTTTTTTTTTTTTTCTAAATCTATGCATTAAGATTAAATCTTGGGTTTTGAAAGCTATCAAGTGAACCTCTTTACTCAGTATAGGTTTTAATTTTCAGGAAGTTTAACGTGAGACCAGAAGAGATATTTCATGCCTCTGTTATGCCCTGTTTTGACAAGAAACTTGAGGCTGCACGCTCGCATTCCGAGAATCACTTTAACTGTCGTGAAGTTGACTGCGTTTTAAGTACAGGTCTGTAGGTTTTTTAAATATCTATTCTTATTTCATTTACAATTGCGAATCTCATTCTTTGTCTCTCCACGTACAGCTCATTATTTTCTCAAATTTGTTCTTACCAGTGGTATTTTAGGGGAAGTGGATGCAATTTTAGATGAATGTAGCTCAACAGAGAGTTTTCCTGTCGATGGAAAAGTGGGATGGCTAAATGCGCTAGAGAATGGGAAGATAATAAGTTCAGAGGGAGGTTCTTCGGGTGGGTACGCTGAATACATCGTGAAACGATTTGTCGAAGAATCAAAAACACCATTGAAATTAAAGAGAACCATAAAGTAAGTTGAAAATAGAATTTTTTTGAAAGTTTTTATTTTCTTAAGCCTCAATATTTTTTGATTTATGTTCGAGATGCATGAAACAAAGATGATATGATCTAAGATGCAGACTGTATTTTTGAAGACTGAAGGATAGTGATAAACTAAGTTTTACAGGGACAAAAATTGGGAAATAATAGAAGCAGTAGATGGTGAAACAATTGTGCTTTCCGTGGCAAAATGCTATGGATTTCGTAACATCCAAAACCAAGTGCAGAAATTGAAACGTTCTAAATGTAATTATGATTATGTTGAAATCATGGCTTGTCCATCAGGATGTATTAATGGTGGTGGACAAATTCGTAGTGCATCAATTGAAGAAAGAAAACAGCTCTTAGATACAATCGAATTGCCATGCTCAGAAGATAATTCAGAAATGGAAGAGCAACTAGAACGTGTGAAAGAAGAATGGTCAATATTGAATCCAGATTGGATGAATTTGCTTTATACGAAGTACCATGCAGTGGTGAAAAGTGATGCTGACAGAATAAGCACGAATTGGTGAATTATCTGGGAATTAACATATGGAGAAATCAGGTCGGCGTTTGATGATTAGTTGATATGAAGTCGAGCATATGAATACATCAGTCAAAAATGAGTAGAAGACCAAATGGCATCTGTGATATGATGTTAAATGTGATTAAGACGATCACAAAGAATAAAAAATCCTTCATGTATCTAACACATTTTTAATGTGACAAGGAAGTAATCAATTTTTTTCGCTCGGAAAAGCATGATATTGTGAGTAGTAATAATATCTTCCAAGCATTCCTTCTGATCTTTTAGCAGGTTTTTATGAAATATAAAAGAAAACTGTGACTTAGAAAGATTGATTTAACAACATTTATTCATAACAAAATTAAAGCTAGTTCGACACATCCATAAGTCAATCTGACATTTTGAAACCAATGGGCAACGAACCAACAAAAAAGAAAAGGTACAAATAACAATCTGCAAAGTAACTCTGTGCAAAGGATAAATCATAAATTTGTCGGTTTGAATACGTTGAAACCGGATAACGCAGTTGTAACCGCAAAACCCGGGATTTGACTATGCCAATGCACCTAAAATCAGAACTTTATTAGTCACCAATATGATGAAGCAGTAAAGATTACAAAATGGAGATTTTCAGCCTGATTTTCCCAAAAAATACTTCCTAGTTTATTTTTGAATCCCTTTTATATGAAATATGACGATGAACTACTCCATTTTTTGCTTCATTTTCCATATTTATTGCTAACACTAGACCATACCTTTCGAAGGACTGGAATAATTTGGGACAATAAATTTCTTGGAAACTTCCCTCTTTATTTGTACCTCAAATATTTTAAAAATGTTACCTCTTTCACTTCCTGCTGTCCCATATGAACAAACAACAACTGTGGAGGTACTTCTGCAATATTTTCGTTCGAATCGGCTTCGAGGGCTAAATCCCAAATAGTAACTTGATTATCTTCTCCAGAAGCTATCAATGTTGTCGTTTCATGGGGAGACCATTCCACAGACGTGATGGGTGCTTTATGCTGCTTAAATCGAGCAACGGGTTCTTTGTACTGAAACATACAAAATGGCATCCACAAACATATATTCGACTTAACGAAATCCCTTTTCAGCAGGTTCGTGGAATCAGTTTAGATATTTTTATTCGCTGTGATGTAAGAAATTCCATATAGCACTTTTTCATTTCTTTTTTTTTTTTTTTTTTAATGCATAATTTTGATAATCTCTGCGCACTAAGCATATCTAATATAGCATAACAAAATTGATTTTTATTTCTAGTCAGTGAGTTTTTTTGTGCCGAGTCATATATACTGTAATTTGATCTTATATAAGACAAAAAATATATGTGCATATCGATTCATCATGCAAGTCAATAAACATTAATAATGAAAGATTCATTTCAACCCACCTGCATAGTTTTAAGTGACCATACATTCAATGTCGTATCGTCACCACCACTTACTATCAGCGGTTCAAATTTGTTCCATGATATAACATTTGCATGTGATTTGTGAGCATTTTCTACAGTACAAACACAGGCATCCGATGGTGGAGACCTTAATAATAAAGCTAAAAAGACATTAATTACTCTAAAAAATTCATAGTTTTTGACAAGTCCTGAAATGAAATTGAAATATCTGATTGAGATACTGCGAAAGAGAGAGATATTGAAATATTTCCCTTCCACTTAGAGAAAGAGAACGAATCCTGAAAACAATTTTTAAAGAAACCTTGTATCCCAAAGTTTGATGCTATGATCGGCCGAACATGAAGCAAGCATTGCTTCTTCCGTTGGTGACCAACAAAGATCCTCTACAGAATCCATGTGTCCGGTAAGCGGTTTCTGGTCAACAACCCACTGACCACCTTCAACCATCGTCCACAAATGTATTTTATGTCTGATGTCACCAGATGCAAGTCTTCCTGAAAAAAAATTGCAATTTTCTATACTACCTTTTATTACTAAGAAGCACGTAAAAAGCATTGTTACTTCAAAGCAGTGGAAGAAAGCAGCAATTCATTTGGCTTCTTAGAAACATTCCTCCATACAAACGATAGCAAAAAGAAA